CCCATTTTGTTTCTGGTGCTTTTTGTGGTTTGGATTTGGATTTCTTCCTTTCAGTCTGATCTTTGGTGATCTTCGAGAAGGTGATAATAGGCTTGGGGAAGGAAGAAGGGTACTGTACTAAACTAGAAGTGGAAGAGGATGAGTGAGGATGGTGGTGGAGGATCGGAAGGGTGCAGCAGGCCGTAGCTGTTTAAGTAGTCGTTTGACCACATCACTGCAAGTTCCAAGCACACCGATGTTGAAGTGGCTGAGCTTGCCAGATGCCATGGCATATAGTCCTCCACAATCACTTCTGCCTTGCTCGGAGCTGAGTCGACGATTAGGATCTGGATCCTCCGGCTGGACTTGGGCGGCGTCCACACCACTGAACTCGCTGGGAGTTGGTCTTTCTCCCTCTCAACCCAGTAACAAGCTCGCCATCAAGACACTGATTTCGACGGGCTATAATGGTACTTGAAGCGGATTTCTTGGAGTCCATCAAGTAATCTAATCTTGATTCCATGTTGTGACTACCCCAATCCCATCCATCGCGTATCGACTTCCTTATAATTATCATGTATTGATTACCCACTGAGGTTGCGACCACAGCTCGTAACTATTTACAATCGAAGATTCCTGCCTTGCAATTAAACTGTTACAAACATGGTCATACATAGCGGGATTCACCATGTTGAGCTTTCTGGATTCTGGACTTTTGCTGCGTGGAATTAATTCTGGTTGCTGCCTCAATCTTGACTTGAGTGAGGGGACTTTCTGATGACTTTCTCAACACAACAAACCAATGCAGGATGCTGAGGTGCTGGCCTGACTCAGGTGAACAGCTTCCAAGAACTCGGAGCAAGGTGAGCAATTGCCGTGGAGGCTTCTGAAGTTTTCCTGACAGTACACCCAGCATGCTTTTCCAAGACCACCTGAGAAAGTACGAAAGTGATCTTTTATGGTGCTGTAGTCAAGGCAACTCATCACTGACCTGCGATCTCCCTCAATTATCGAAGGGATGCTGTCCAGGGAGGACTCATACTGGTTTTTGGTGTGTACAACCACGTTGACTGATTGGGATGCCATTGCCAGGATCAACCGAGCACTTTGTATGATCCGCATCTGATTGGTCAGAAGGGTTCCCTCCCCCCGCACAGCCTTAATCACTCGGCCGGGGGTCCCCCGGTTACCGCTGAGAATTTCCTCCGGGAATGGAAAGAGAGCCATCCTTCCATCGAAAGCCACCATCCAACCCACACTGAACCAACCCACACACAACCACAACCACAACCTCGAATACCATCACAAAGCATAACCATCCAACCATGTTAACCATCCAGAACCTACTCAGACCATGTCTACGATCAACTCAACTCAGGCCAGTCACTTACTCGGTAAGCACCCATTCTGCTTATTCTCCATATCCTGATTCATACACGGGATTGACCCCTACGCATCGAAAATGTTTATAAATCAAGCTGCCTAGTATTCGATTGATCTCATCGAGTAAATCGTCATCCTTTGCCACACCGGCTGAAGAGCATGCTGGTCAACAACCATCCTCCTCAGCGGAATCCAAGGAGTTCTCGATCTATCGCTGGAATCCCGACGAGCCCAGCAAGAAGCCGAGCCTACAGACTTACTCGATCGACCTCAAGAAATGTGGACCGATGGTCCTTGATGCGTTGATCAAGATCAAAAACGAACTCGATCCCACCTTGACCTTCCGAAGGAGCTGTCGAGAGGGCATCTGTGGTAGCTGTGCCATGAACATCGACGGTGTCAACACATTGGCCTGCTTGAAACGCATCAACAAGGAGACTACTGCACCCGTCAAAATCTACC